GAAAGCAAAAAAGAAAGAAAATAATTGAGGGAATTATTACTAAAGGCAACTTTTGTCTAAAAAAAAAAAGAACATTTGTGATTGCAATGCAAAACCAGCTTTCAGCTGGAACATAAAGCCTGTTAAAGCATCAACAACGAAAGCAAAAATCCTGAAATTTTTTTCAGCAATTTTAATTAAGTATGCTCTTTTTAAAAAAAAAAAAAAAGCCACAATGCTGCCAGTGGCTTCCACACTGGACAGCACAAGAGAGGGAACATTTCCATCCTGGGTGAGCATCTATTGGACAGCATTGACTTTTAGAACGTATGCTGCAGTCCAGTTGACCAGAGGGTCCTGCTTTGGGGTATTTGGCATGGTGTTTATTCTATTTTTATTATGATTATTTTTTAAATTTATAGATTTAAATTTAAATCTCCATCTCAATTTTTAAAATATTAATAAAAATAATAATAACAAAATAAAAGATTTAAAATTTAATCTCGCTCCGTTGCCCAGGCTGGAGTGCAGTGCCATGATCTCGGCTCACTGCAAGCTCTGCCTCCCGGTTCAAGTGATTCTCTTGCCTCAGCCCTCCCAAGTAGCTGGAATTACACGTATGCACCACCATGCCGGCTAATTTTGTACTTTTAGTAGAGTCAGAGTTCTCCATGTTGGGTCAGCTGGTCTCAAATCCTGACTCAGGTAAATCTTGCCTGCCTGCGCTGTCCAAATGCTGGGATTACAGGCGTGAGCCACCACATCTGGCCCGACCACCCACTTTTAAACAGCCAGATCTTGCATGAACTCAGAGTAACAAGCCACTTATCACCAAGGGGATGGTGCTAAACCATTCATGAGGGATATGCCCCCATGATCCAATCACCTCCCTCCAGGCCCCACCTCCGACACTGGGAATCACATTTCAGCATGAGATTTGGAAAGGACAAAGATCCAAACCATATCACTATTGTTATAGGAAGTATTATCAGCCAGGCGCAGTGGCTCACGCCTGTAATCCAAAAACTTTTGGAGGCTGAGGCAGGTGGATCACCCAAGATCAGGAGTTTGAGACCAGCCTGGCGAACACGGTGAAACCCCATGTCTACTAAAACTATGAAAATTAGCTGGGTGTGGTGGCAGGCACCTGTAATCCCAGTTACTTGGGAGACTGAGGCACAAGAATCCCTTGAACCCGGCAGGTGAAGGTTGCAGTGAGCGGAGATCATGCCACTGCACTCCAGCCTGGGCAACAGAGACTTTGTCTCAAAAAAAAAAAAAAAAAAAAAAAAAAAAAAAAGCATTATCGTTAGGGGAAGCTGGATGAAGGCTACATGGGAACTCTGCTCTTTTTTCCCCAACTTTATTATTATTATTATTGTTATTATTATTTTGAGACGGAATCTCACTCTGTCTCCCAGGCTGGAGTGTAGTTGCATGACCTCAGCTCACTGCAACCTCCACCTCCCGGGTTCAAGGGATTCTCCTGCCTCAGCCTCCTGAGAAGCTGGGATTACAGGTGTAGGCCACTATGCACGGCTAATTTTTGTATTTTCAGTAGAGATGGGATTTCACCATGTTGTTCAGGCTGGTCTCAAACTCCTGACCTCAGGTGATCCACCTGCCTCCACCTCCCAAAGTGCTGGGATTGCAGGTGTGAGCCACTGGGCCCAGCACTTTTTTTCCTACTTCTTATGAGATAGAAACTGTTGGAATAAAAACTTATGAGAACAAAGAAGAAAAATAACATATATACTAATTTTTATGCAAATAACCTACATGTCTTTGATTCTTATGAATGTACATGAACCAGAGGAGCAAGATGTCAAATCTTTAATTTTTCCCCAACAAATATATGTCCCTTACAAATAATTTCCCACTCTGGCTTCAGCCTGAGAAAAAAATTACAGTTTTCATTTCTTGCAGTTTTTTGCATAGCCTTAGCCTTGTGTGTTTGATGCATCTACACTGATACTGGATCTACGGTTCCAGGGAAAACAAATGGAGTTGGCATGTGAGCATGTCAGAGGAGCTCGATGGTTGGACAATTTCCTCACTGTGATGTAGTGAAAGTAGCCCAATCCTTAGGGATGCCATCCTTAGAGATGTCATCTGTAGAGATGTCCATCCTTAGAGATGCCCATCCATAGAGATGCCATCCTTAGAGATGCCATCCTTAGAGACATCCATCCTTAGAGATACCACCCTTAGAGATGTCCATCCTTAGAGATGCCTTAGAGAGGCCATCTTAGAAATGCCAATCCATAGAGATGCCATCTTTAGAGATGCCTTAGACATGCCTTCCTTAGAGATGTCCATCCTTAGAAATGCCTTAGAGATGTCCATCCATGGAGATGCCATCCTTAGATATGCCCATCCTTAGAGTGCCATCCTTAGAGATGCCATCCTTAGAGATGCCACGCTTAGAGATGTCCATACTTAGACCTGGCATCCTTAGAGATGCTTTACAGATACAAATCCCTAGAGACGCCCATCCTTAGAAATGTCTTAGAGATGCCCATCCTTAACAGACACCTTCTTTGATGCCCATCCTATAATATAATGCCATTCCTCCACATTTTTACTGAATTAACTGCATCTCTGTTTCCACACAGTAGACAATGATCTTATCTCAGGAGGCATGTCTCCTTTGATTCTCAATCCCTGATGTTCATCACAGTCTGTCACACTTGGCGATGCTCACTACTGGCTTCTCAAAGGATAGTGTGTTTTTTGTAAACTATAGGAGCCTAAGAAGGGCCCTACTCTTCTATCCTTCATTGGTCCTAAACAGGAGGGAATGTTAACCTGATGAAGTTGTTTGCACAACCCTGGATGGACTGAGCTTATTTGAAGGTAGGATCTCTTTATTTAGGG